CAGGATATTGAAAAAAAAACACCTCTTGTTATCTCCCCTTTAATCCAGTTAACAAATAGAAGTCATTCTAAAAGACTCACAACCATTGCTCAGACAGGAAACAATCTGGAAAATAAATTCAAAAAGAACATTTTCAGCACCATTACATTTAAGGACTAACAGAACTACAGTAGGACAGACAATGATAAGGCTCATGCATTTAAGGCTTTTATATGCTTGGGCTCAGTTTTTTCACTTTTTTTTAATGACAAATAAAGATATTTTTTGAGTGGCAAGAAAAATATAATGTTATTTCCAAAGTTATTTCAAGAGAAAATATATTTCCCTGTGAAAATAGCTAGATGTCCCCTGACCAACAGGGCTGAAATGTCAAGGGTTCATATATGTTCACCCAGCATTTACTTCTATTTTGAACTTTCCTAAACTATTTGCCTCAATATATCTTCCACCATTTTTCAGAGAGGTCAAGCATTTAAGAGGCCCTGGGGTTTAAGCTAACATTTCTTCGTTCATAAACAAATCTTATGTCAAAGGTCGAGTGTACTATAGCTGAATATAAAATGGCCCCATCTGTTTGGCTGCCTGGTGATTTTACATCCAGCAAATTGAAGTAAGGGTCTGATTGTAATTGGATTCTATTTTCTTTTGGTAGCTACTAATACCCTACAATAAAATGATTATCAATGGAATGACATTGGAACAGTCAGGCAACAACTCTCTGCTTTTACTGTAAAAGGTATTAAAAATAATTTCTGGTTTTGGTACACTCCATGCATAAACTTTGGATTTCTCCACTAACGTCTTGATGACTATTTCTAAAATGAATCTTGCACCTTAAAACTGGTCTATCTAGATATTTTGCTTAATTGAGAAGTGACATATTTTTACCCTAATTTATTAATTTCAGTAAAGGCTATGGCCTGAGGAACTCTAGACCATTTTGTACAATTATGACTAGAATAAATAGGGCAAAATTTCTAGCATGCATAACACGCTCTTAATCACTATTTGTTGAATGAATAAAAATAAGAAAAGAAAAATAGTGGCTTCAGACTGGACCAGGGCAGCAAATTTGCATACACACACATAGTTTTCCAGAAGTGAACCAGAATTCCCTAAGATGTAAAGCTGAGTTCTAGATAGGGATGCTCCAGGTGATATTTCATTTTTAAGATAACATTTCAAAAACCGCCATGAGTCTGTACTGGAGCACCTCTCCCCATCTTTGTAGTGAATTGCAGATACTTGATATATCCAGCATATAGACTGCCAAACTTTTGAGGACAGAAATCTTGTCTTACATCATCTTTGACTTTCTCATAGCACCCAATTCAGAGTAGTGGATCTAATACACACTTGAATATTGGTTGACATGGACCATATAGGGTTTTAGAAAACCAGAAACGAAAAATAAAATCCAGGATTGTAGTATATTAATATAGTTTATAGCAATTACTATTGTGCATGTGTATTTCTTTTTCTCTTTTTTTTTGGTATGGAGCATTCAACTCTTCAAAGCATTTTCATCACTTATGTTCTTCCTCAAGCCCCAGTTGATGCCCCATCTCTAGTTTCTTTTAGCCAACTTGCTTCTTGGAGCTAGATGGAGCATCCTTAAAGAAATGGGGCTTTTCTATCGCGATACTTCCAGTTATTAGTATTAGTCAAGTGGGAACTTTTCTGAAGTCTGTAGGACATGGGCCAAGTGTGTGTGTGTGTGTGTGTGTGTGTGTGTGTGTGTGTGAGAGAGAGAGAGAGAGAGAGAGAGAGGAAAAGACACTGAAAGTCCTTGAGAATGTATTGGCATTAGAGAGGCTTTTAAAATCCAATCACTAATTCAATATGATTAATTATCTTAAAGTAACTTGTAGAGTGTTTCCTGAGCAGCAGTGGAGGTCACTTCAAACAAAGCAAACCACAGCTAATGTGCTGACATTTTAAAAAGACAAGACAAGTGCTAAAAATGTCCATACAATTTCCATTACTTACTACAGTCATTAGAAACAAGAAATATGTTTATCAAACTAAAGTGGCTCAAACAGTATTTTCTTTACTCAAACCCATGTAGCTGGAGAAAAATTCAAGAGTTTGCCTGTGACAGAGAGATCACCCGGTTCCTATTACAGGAAAGCAAGCTTTGCCTCTAATCGCTATTGATTTAGTTGTTGGCCCTTGAGACTCTAAATACGTCTTGAATTAGCAACATCAGCATAATCTGGACACTCACTAGAAATGCAGAATCTCAGGTCCCATCCCATATCTAACTGAATCAGAACTTGCATTTTAACAAGATGTTTTGTGATTTATATATGCATTTTAGTGTTGAGAAGCACTAGTGTAGGCCATGAATTGTTATTTAAACATCTGACAGAAAAGAGCTGGTTGAGAAAAGGAGAAAATGCTACCTGATAAAACCACCTTACTCAAAGATCTATTGGTGTTGATAAACTTGCTCTTATCCACTAATCCAGCCTTGAAATAAAAACTTAATAGGCCCTATGGCCACGAGGCCAACATATGAGCACACAAGCTGGGTATGAGTTTGTTAAGTGATACCCAAAATGCCAACTAGAGGCAGACTTCAAAGGGCAAACCTCAGTCTAATTATCACAGAAATGATTTAAAAGCATTTTTATGGTTAAGGTTACCAGCCACACAGAGCTTGCCAAGGTGGTACAAAACTCAAAGGCCTAAGATGCTTTTTGTCTTAGAGGTACAGAGTTTAGGGGAATTCAACCAGAGCAAACACTGAGTTTCTGCTGGCCTAGGGAAGACATGATCTTCAAACACTGATGTGAAACATCTGGGCCAGGGTTGGCAGCCACTGTGCAAAATTGTGTGGGGGGAAAGGCTGTGTGAAAATGTTCACACCCACAGCATATTTGGCAAAATTTCCTTTCTTCTTTGTATGTTTGATATAAATTTCATTTCTCTACTGGAATAATTTGATTCAAATGTCCTATAAGAGGAAAATTGTGGGGGTTTTTTCCACTTTACCAAATGCGTGCTCCCCATGAACATTCAATTGCTTATTCTGAGGCTTTATCTGGAATTGACACAAAAAGCTTCATCCCACAGAATAAAGTTGCACAGGCACTGGTGGAGGTTGAGAAATAATGAGCTAAAATTAGACAAAGGGCCCTATCTCTAACCCATCAAAGGGCCATATAGGTTTACCAGTTAGAAAATATTCACATGAGACCATGTTTGCCTCTGGATAACTCAGCCAAAATCTCTATTTAGTAAATTCATTAAAAAGCAAAGCATTTACTTTTTCTTACTTTAATTTTTTCATGAGAGAGAAAGTATGTGTGTGTGTTTTAAAACCAAGAAAAAAAAATTTCCCCTCCGTAAAGCAAACCCACATTTTGTTCTTTGGAAAATACTGACCATTCACTCAAAAATTCCTGATTATAATGACACTTTACTTGTCTTCACAGGCCATCTTAGAACAACAGTTTAAGTAATATGAACTATTAGTCAATAGTGTTTTTTTATGCTTAAACTGGTACCTAGTTTTTAAAAAATGTTTTTTTTTTATTTTAGAGAGAGAGGAATGGGGAGTGAGAGATAGAAACATCCATGTAGAGAGAAACATTAACATGGATTGGCTGCCTCCTGCTGGGGATCGAGCCCACAAACCAGGCATGTGCCCTGATCAGGAATCCAACAGGTGATCTCTTGGTACATGGGCCGATGCTCAACCACCGAGCCACACCAGCCAGGCTGGTATATAGTTTTGCTGGGTTGGTGGAGATGGGCTTGAGAAACACAGACCTAACTTTCATTCTAGTTAAGGAATAATATTGTGCTCCAAAGACACAAACAAAAACTGCCTCAAGGCAATTTACCCGAACCTCCCTGGAATTTTTGCAGTGCAAAGGTAGTTATTACTGTTCATTTACCTGCTGGAATGCCCTTTGCATTTGAAGAGCAAAGAGATGATAATGTTACCATGTTTTCAAAACTATGAAAGAAAGGTTCCTAAGTAATTTCTAACCACTTTCACAGCATTTGGAGGCTGCTTTTTGCATAGTTAACAATTCACAAGGTGGGTAGGCAGCCTCCAAGATAGTCTCCAGTGATCACCTCGTATTGTGTAATATTTTTCCTGGGAGCGAGTGGGAACTGGGTATAGCAGTAACTTGGTTTTTTTTTCTTTCTTTATTGATTAAGGTATTAAATATGTATATGTGTCTTTATCCCCCCATTGCCCACCTGCTCATGCCCTCACCCCGCTGGTGTCTGTATCCACTGGTTATGCTTATATGCATGCATACAAGTCCTTTGGTTGATCTCTCCCCCTTACCTGTTTTTAAAGAATAGAATAAGGTACAGAGTGGTGGTGACTTTAGACTTGATCATAAAAGGCAATGTTCTCTCGCTCTCTCTCTCTCTCCATAACTCTCTTTCTCACAGACAGACACATATACACACGTATCATCATTGTCATCATCATCATCATCATCATCATCATCATCATCAGTTCTGAGGCAAGCCAGCTGCCACATGTGGGCAGCTCAATGGCCTACATGACAAGGAAATAAGGGCTCTGGTCAACAGCCTTGTGAGTATTCTTGGAAAGGGTTCCTATGGCCTTATAAGTCTCAGACAGCTGTAATCAGGCTGACAACTTGATTGTAGCATTGTGAACCACCTTGAGCCAGAACCACCCAGCCAAGTAGTTCCTTGATTCTTCATTCATAGAAACTGTGAGATAATAAATGTTCATTGTTTAAAGATATTAACTTTTGGAGTAATTTGCTACATAGCAATGGATAACTAATACACAGGGGTATTATGCTTCTTCTAGTATATGCCTCCATTTATTTAGTAGGTATTTATTGGGAAACCACCACGTCAGGCACAGCTTAAGCAGAGGTTAATCATCTATAAACATAAGAAACATATTAAGGCACTCCTAGTTTCAGGTCACTATGTACATAGCATACAGAGAAGAATTTTAACTTTGGAAATTAATGTTTGTGGCAATCATCTTTGGAAATATAATCTACCACCTATAGTTACCGTATTTGCCGGCGTATAAGACGATTTTTTGGCCCTGAAAAATATGCCTCCAAGTGGGGGGTCGTCTTATACGCCAGGTACACTTCAGATAGACTGCCCATAGTGCTTGTGAGGCCGGTAAAGGAAGCACTGGTGTAGTGTTAGATTTTCCTTATCTCTATTATTTGACCTTTCTGATCTCCAGGAGATAAGTACTCATTCTTAGAACTAAGTTTCTAATCTGTTGTTTTAAAATTAATAAGGTATAGAGTTCTTCCTAAATGAAGAGCTGTTTAAAAAGTCTTTGTCACATGTAAACATACCATATTAAAATAAGGAGATGGGGGAGGTGCAGTGTGTGCATTTGCTTGTGCGTGTGCATGTGTGTGGTGGGGCAGGGTGGCTATGGGGCAGACAACTCTGGGTCTGTGTGATTTTACTGCTGTGTAACTTTGACAGGTTTAATCTCCTTTCCACACAGTTTCTTAGACTGTATTGGTGAGACAATGAAACCCGCCATTGTCCTTGGGAACAAATCTGTCTTATTATCTCTTTCCTGCTTTCCTGATGAGTCAATATTAAGGTCAAAGAAAACAACTGATGACCTTCCAAAGCACACTCTAAGGCAGTGATGGCGAACTAAATTAAAATGTTAAAATCAAATATGATATTGTTTTACCTTTTATTTGGTGTGTGGAAGGTGTGCGGAAGAGGGGGTAGTCTTATACGGCGAGTATATAACAAACTCTGTATTTTGAGTGGAAATGTTAGGGGGTCGTCTTATACGCCCAGTCGTCTTATACGCCAGCAAATACGGTACTACTACAAATTTTCTATTTATATATTAGTGGCTCAATAAATATTTGTGGATTGAATACTTTTCTATGAATTGTGCCCACTTGTGTACTTTAAAAATAGAAATGAGCCCTAGCTGGTTTTGCTCAGTGAATAGAGTGTTGGTCTATAGACTGAAGGGTCCCTGGGTTTGATTCTGGTCAAGGGCACATGCCCAGGTTGCAGGTTTGAATCCCAGTAGTGGGTGTGCAGGAGGTAGCCAAACAATGATTCCCTCTCATCATCCGATGTCTCTATCTCTCTCCCTCTCCCTTCCTCTCTGAAATCATATCTAATAAAAGAGAAACATGGTAATTGGCGTACGACTGCTACCCTTCCCATTGGCTAATCAGCGAGATATGCAAATTAACTGCCAGCCAAGATGGCGGCCGGCAGCCAGGCAGCTGGAAGCTAACATGAGGCTTGCTTGCTTCAGTGACAGAGGACTCCAACGTTCCTCGCCTGCCTTGCCGGCCTCTGAGCTTGCAGTTTGAAACATTGTAACAAATATAGAAGCGAAACAAAACCCCAGAAACCAGCTTTCAGCTGGCTGGGATCTCAGAGCTGGAGTTGATGCAGAGTTTTT